ATATATATATTTATAATTTTTTAATTATATTATTAGACGGGAAAGTACCCCTCTATATTCGATTTTATCAATCACAAAAAATCTAAATCCAATCAAAACGATTTTTTTATTATATCTAAATGGGAATCAGGTATCCACGAAATTGAATAAATTGTCCTGGAGATTATTTTTTTCACTTGTATATAATATTATAACTTTTTTCTATTCCACGTGGAATCTTACATCGTAGACGACAACTTGGGTTAGGCACTAGAGTTAAATACAAAAGGTCCTGGCCCATCCGTTCCGACCAGCATGAAACATTGAAACCGATATTAATCAATTAAAAGCAATAGATTTTTTCTTTTCCTCAGAAGCAATTTTTTGGTGAATTATTTTTAATAAATTCTTATTCTAGATTGGTGTTGTGGCAAACGTTAAAAATAATGAACCGATGAAGTGAAAGAGTCGAGAGTCCAATAAGAATCGATTGGAATTAAAAGAGATGATGAAGTAGTAGAATTTGTGTTTCAAATCAAATAAAAAAGTTGAATCAACAAATTATTTTTTTTCCATATCTAACAGAAATAACAAAGTATAGATTTTTCACGATTCTGGTTTTGATGTGAATTTCGGATCGGCATCAGAACTTGCCCATAGTCTTCTTAATTAGGTAACTCCCAAGTCGCACGTGACAATAATGGGATCGCAACGCACAATTATGAGACAGAGGACTATTTTTTTTTTAACTAAAAGACATGTATCGTCTCTTCGTCACATGATAAAAATAATCAAACCGTGTTTATGGATAAAATTTATTACAGATAATAAATGAGTAAGTTAATTAAATACTCGCAAATAATAAAAATAAATAATTTTTTACCCGTTTATAAACAAAGCAGAGGTAAGTATGTTGGTATTCATATCTGCAGGTACTCGTTTAATAACATTTCTTAAATATCCTAATTATCTTTGTAGCACATAATCCTAAAACTACACTTTCTCATCTTATTTTTTTTTCTATAGCTGCACAGCCCACCCATTAGTTATCAAATATTATGAGATTGAATTATTGTAATTTTGTGATATAAGACTTTCACTTACTTGTGAGATTGATGTATTTTAAGTTATTGATTATCTTGCTTTTTTATTATTATTTCAACAGAATTAACGTTAATTACAAGTTCAAAATTAACATTAAATTTTTGCTTTTAATATTTCAATGACATTAAATATAAATTTAAAATTATTTATAATATAATTTTTTAATTTCTTTAAAAATTTATAAATATTCATATTCATGAATACCCGTTTCACGGATACCTGCATAGGTATGGAGCACATATGAAATCAATTTTCATCCAGCAAGGTGAGGACAAGTTTACTATTACCCGTCCCCATGAAGTTTTATTGTCATCCCTAATCACCATATCAGATCCACAATATCACAATGTTATATATCATAAGAAATAAAATATATTAGAAAAATTTAATTAAAATATATTGAATTGATTTTTTATTACAATTTTAGTTTTCATAATTTTTAAAATTAAATAATATTAATCACCCATTAACATATCATTTAAAATTGCACAAAAAAATAATAACATGTATGGATATATGTGGTTGATATTTTAACACAATTTAAGACACATATATTACTAACTTGTCATAAAAACCGTATTTAAGCCTTCTAATTTAAAAAAAAAATATATAGTCTGATCAACAGTATATATATTTTCTTTACTTAATCATTTAATAAGAAATTATGATACATAATTTTTTTAATTGTTTTTATAAGATTATTTAAAAGCATATATAATAATTTGTTATTAAATAATATATAAAAAAAAACAGGTTTATTTCTCCAAGATTTAAGAAGTTAGTCTTTCTTAATTAAATGTTTCTTATATGAACACACAAATTAAAAAAAAATCTCTAATCATGAGAAATAATATAGTTATCAAGCATATATATTACCATACTAATATCATACCTTATTGAACTATGAGGATTAACATAGAGCGAGAGAGTTGAAATAGTATATATAAAATTTAGGATTAAAATTCAATAACATCATTTTTATAGATAAAAAAGAAACAATATACATCCCATTGGTTAAGTATCATCTATATTTAAATATGATTGAAATCATTTAATTTAAAGTAAACAGTTTGATCATTTTTGAGAAAAATATAATTATAATTTATAAAATGAATTAATTTATATAAATAAAATATTAACTAATAATTTTATGAGAACTTATAATATATAATTAAATTAATGAATACAATAAAACTAAATAAACATTATATTAAAAATATATCGTTGAATTAAACAGAATGCATTATGAACAAACATACTTTGTTGGGTTAAACCAATTTAATTGATAATGTTATTTGTTACGCAACGTAATTTCTTAGTGTAATTGATATCAAATTGTGATGTGTAATTCTGAGTGACATGACTGTAACAGCTCATTCACATTATATGATTAGATG